GGTTTAGTGTCAAACCACATTCAGTCTGACCAGTCTCCCCACCTCTGCTGCCATCCTAGCCTAAGGCAGCACTGTTGCCCCAGTGGTTACTGTGATCCCTCACTCTACTCCCTACTTGCACTCTTCCATTTTTTTAGTTACTTCCCTCTGCTGTCTTTCACTCACAATAAAAGCCAGAGTTTTCTTAATAAATACAGTAGCCTGCATGGTGGTGTCTCATTTCCCTAACCCTGTTTCCTACATTCTCCCCCATTCACTCTTCAAACTATACTGGCTTCTTTTTCTTTGAATATGACATGAATGCTCTCCTTTTTTCCTGTCTAGAATGTTCTTACAGCTACCACGTAGCTCACTCATTTCCTTCTGGGCTTCACTCAAGCTTCATCTTAGAGGGGCATACTCTAAAACCGCACATGCACACACAACACCCCTTAGTGCCCCCAACACTTCTCCCTTTCATACTTCATTTTTCTTTCCTATACTCAGCCACTTTCTAACATGCCATATATATTTCACTTTGTTTCTTATTATTTATCTGCTCACCTACTCCAGTACTTATCAGACTAAGCTTCAAAGGTGACCAGTCTAGTCTACTTATGTTGGGTGCTACCTCCCCATGGTCAGAACACAGCCTAGCTCAGGGAGGCTCAGCAGCTATTTGAATGAGTGATTGTTGGGGTTTTACATTAGTTTTTAGGCCACCATAACAATGTGCTATACAAAGAGTAGCTGAAGCAACAGAAATTCCCCTTTAGTTGGGAAGAACATAAGTCTGACATCAAAGCAGATAATCTTGTCTTACAGGAACACTCGCCACATTAGATTAGAGCCCACCCTAATTACCCCACTGAACCTTACTGCTTTTTAAGTATCCTATCTACAAATACAATCGGGTACTAAGAGTTAAGGTTTATATAAATTTGGGAGAGCATAATTTATGCTTCTAACATTAATACCTGTGTTGTCAGTTTATTACTCCAATGGCTATTTCTGTCATGTATCCCCATTTTCTCTTTGTATACATACTAATAAACTTTTAGCCCTTTATCTCAACTTGTAATTATAGATTTATACAGTGTCTACCTCTTTCCATCTCTGAATTCTTTTAAGTTTCAGGTATTGTATTAATACTTGACTTCACATTCTTTTTTTTTTT